CGCCAACATCTGTCGTTTCCTGACTTGTTAATTTTAGCCATTCTGACTGGTGTGAGGTGGTATCTCATTGAGGTTTTGATTTGGATTTCCCTGATGCATGGCCTTTTCTTCTTGACCTACCCTTTGCAGATCACTTATGTTTCAACATTTCTTGATATGCTAATCAATTACCATTTACCTACTTTTCATTTTCTTATGTTTTGTTGACATGTCTTATCGGTGGTTGTCCCCTTTTCTATTTTCTTTGTTATTGTGAATTTATACTTTAAGTAACTACGTTATATTTTAGTGGGATTTTGGGAAGAAGTGGAGAAATAGCCATGTGTTCTATTTACCATGTTTAAGTGGAATTATACTTTTTTTTTTTTTTTTTAAGATTTTATTTATTTATTAGAGAGAGAGCACAAGCAGGGAGAGTGGCCGGCAGAGAGAGAAGCAGGCCTCCCGCCGAGCAGGGAGCCCGATGTGGGACTCAATCCCAGGACCCTGGGATCATGACCTGAGCCGAAGGCAGCCGCTTAACCGACTGGGCTAACCAGGCGCCCCTGGAATTAAACTCTTGAGAAAAGTAAGATAGTGAAAGTAACAAGAAATAGGATTAGTAGGTATAGAAGATTGAAGATTTGTGAGGTCAGGCCAGTGGAGGAATCATCAGTGTACACACTAAAGTGTCAAGTATTTTGGTAAGGGATAGATGGAGACAAATGCTAAAATAATTAAGGAAGTCAGGAGAGTTTTTGGATTGCAAAGGGGTTTAGGGAAAGTGATAAAGATTGGGAGGGATGGTTTAAATGGGCAGGATTGCCTTTCAAAGAGGAAATGTTGAGAGGTAACAGTGAACAATGGTTGGAAACCCGAAGAAAAACAAGGAATATGTCAGCCTTTCCTCTTAACACTGAAAAGTCATCATTTATTCTACCTAAAAAAAGTCCAGTATATCAATTTTTTAATTTAGGGTATTGTGTTTTTGGTGTTGCATCTAAAAAAAACCCCACTGTTGCCTGACCTAAATTTGCTGAGTTTCTCCTTTGTTTGCACCTGGAAGTTTTATAGTTTTGCTTTATATTTAGGTTTATGATCCATTTTTAGTTAATTTTTATATAGGGGGCAAGGTATGATCAAAGTTTTTTTGCAAACAGATATCCATTTGTTCTAGCAACATTTGTTGAAAAGATTAAGCTTTCTCCTTTGCATTTTTGTTGAAAATCAGTTGGCCATCATTTGTAAGCCTATTTCTACACACTTTATTTTGTTCCACTTGTGTTTTTGTCTGCCCTGACACCAATAACACACTTTTTATTTTGCTGTTTTATAATAATCACAAAGTCAGTAGTGTAATTTTTCTGTTCTTTTTTTTTCTTTCAAAATACTTTTGGCTATTTTAGTTCCTTTGCACTTCCGTATGAATTTTATTTATTTAAGATTTTATTTATTCATGAGAGACAGAGAGGCAGAGGCAGAGGGAGAAGCAGGCTCCCCACTGAGCAAGGAGACCAATTCGGGACCCGATTCCAGGACCCTGGGATCATGACCTGAGCTGAAGGCAGACGCTTAACCGACTGAGCCACCCAGGCATCCCCATATGAATTATAGAATTAGCTCGTCAATTTCTATTTTAAAAAGGCTACTGGATTATGATTGGAATGCACCGACTATATAGATAAATTTGGGGAAAATGTGTATCTTAACAGTATTGGATCTTCCAGTCCATAAACATGGTATATATTTTCTTTAATTTTTCTGAGTAGTCTTCCAGTTTTCAGTGTACAGGACTTTCAGATTTATGTGTATTTCATATTTTTTGATACTCTTGTAAATAGTATTTTTTCAAAATTTTAGTTTCCCACTGTTCATAATTATTTTGTATACTAATCTCGTAACCTAAACTTCGTGAAACTTGCTTATTTGTAGCTTTTTTGTAGATTGCTTTGGATTTTCTACACAGGTGATTATGTCTTCTGCAAACAAAGACAATTTTCCTTCTTTTTCATTTGGATGTCTTTTATTTGCTTTTCTTTCATTTTTGCACTGGCTAGAACCTCTAGCACAAGCCTGAATGGAAGTATAGACAACAGATATCCATGTCTTGTTGCTAATCTTAGGGGAAACACATTTAGTCTTTCATCATTAAGTATGCTGTTAGCTGTGAGTTTTTTGTAGATATCTTTTATAAGCTTGTGGAAGCTTCTACTCCTACTTAGCTGAGAGTTTTTTTCATGCACTGATGTTGGGGTTTTGTCAAGGGGTTTATCTTTTTCTGCTTAGATGATTGTGTTGTTTTTTTCTTTTCAGCTCGATAATATATTCAGATGTACTCATTGATTTTCAGATGTTTCAAATGTTAAA